TGTGGATAACTTCTTCACTTAAACCAACGCTGAACTGTACGAAGGCGGCGAAATCGGCCAGATCTATACTACAGCTGATTAGACGAACCTTTATGGGGTTCGAAAAGGAGAGCTTTTCAAAAATCTTTGGAAGCTTCGTTCGGCCGCACCTGGAATTCGTTATACAGGCATGGAGACCTTGGACTGTAAAGACTGTACCGTCTTAGAAAAGGTCCAGAGACGAGCGACAAAATTGGTCAAAGGTGTGGGAAGAATGCCCTATGAAAGCAGACTGTCAACCTTCGATCTATTTCCCCTTTCCTACAGACAACTTCGAGGGGACCTCATACTTACCTTCCGTATTATGAATAATCTGGATTGTTGTTTCGTTCCCGAAGAGTTGTCTACGCAGGCTAGTACGCCAACTTTGCGTGGGCATCCCCTTAAACTACGTCCCGGCAAAGCAAAGATTGACAGACGCAAGTTCTTCAGCAACAGAGTATTTGTAGCGTGGAACACCCTTCCCGAAGAGGTTGTCCTCTCGACCTGCGTTAATTCATTTAAGAGCAGACTGGATATGCATCAAATCCCATCCAGACCCACCGCCATGTAAAACGACATTACATTTCACCATACTACTCGTAATTAACGAGTAATTATGTTTTTACTACTATTTGGAATACCTGACAAATGTTGGGTCTTCCCCCAGAACATGTAATAGACGTACTTTTTGAAAATTTTATCCATATATTCTCTATCATCTTGTTACCAATAGGGAGTTAAAATGCGTTCGCTCACATTTCCCTCACTAAAGTGATACTAACGAAATTATAAGCCGAGGGAATATCTCAGGACATGAAATCTGTGAGTGGAGGGAGTGGGTTGCAAAAACGTGCCAACAGGTGTGATCCGATGGTTCGACTAGATTTTGACATTAGTCATTTTTACTGGAAATTCGAATCGATGCTCACTAGATAACCGAAAAGCCCAACAATCAACTAATCCATCTGCGCGAAGAAATCCTTACTATTACCTACTGGCGGTTAGAAATCCCTGCCTGACTTGCTGATGTCACATTCCTGTTATGTGTTTTTGTTTCGTCCCGCATTCCAACAGGTCTTCATATTACCAGAACTTTTCCAGGAAGCAACCGGAGATATCTTCATGTCTCTCCTTCTCTCCACCCTGCGCGAGTTCAGTGAAGGTTGGTATGGACTGATAACTAGCTTGATTCTACTCCTCGTTCTCTGAGAATCTTGCTGTTTGGATTCAATTAGAATTTTGCAAAATTACAGAAATGCACGGTCGTAGTTTATAGTTTGCAGCAATTGATTCCTTCCGACGACCTTTGCTGATCCTCCGTCGAATTTGGCACGTGCGGCCTGTTTACTCTTCGACCCATTCTTTTCCGATGTGTGTTAGAGGCACCGCGTGTTTTATCCACCCAGATGGATTTCCTCTCATGATTACTAGAAATTTGGCTTTTTATGGTTTAACTTATCGGAAATTTCGACAGGGGCGAGTTCGGAATGTTTTTGGTTGCTCGCTGACCAACCGGTCGGAAGCATTCGTTGATGAACCTTCACTTGACCGCTAACGGGACTCATCTGTCCCGCTCTACATTGTGGGCCTGAAAACCGTAACAGCTGGTAGTATAGGCAGATCGTATTGCGGAAAAAAGAAAAGGGTGCCTGGAATGGCCATTTCTGGCTTATTAGCCGTCGTCAGTCAGTCATACTCAGACCCCAGGGGTGCCCCACTAGAGCCTCGAACTCGCGGCCATTTGAGCAGAGCAAACAGCCTAACAATTGAGCCACGAGCTCGTTGTCTAACTGGTTTAGGTCAGAGGATATTGGCGCTCGTTAATGAGCGTTCACCTGACCGCTAACGGAAATCATCTGTCTCGCTCTGCCTTGGGCCCCACCAGAGGTCCTGACAGGCGCAACAGCTGGTGTTATAGTCGACAGGAACCTCTAGCTCAAACCGGCTAGATATTCAGGACAGCCGTACCGGACGATTCAGGCCACTTGAAGCCCTGAGTTTATAAGTCGAAACGCTTTGTTTTAGTGGTTTGACGTTCGGAGGTCTCAGCACTCAGACCTGGCACTGGTATCAGGAAGGGAACATCGTCAGTAAGATAACGGTTTGACGGATCTCGGCCTCCCCAATCGGATAGTCACAAGAGCAAGTCACATAACAAGTGACGTCACGAGTGCCACCTGTGTCTTAGAACCATCAGTTGTTGTATTCTTCCAGGTGATCTTAGGCTGAACAAAGTTTGTCTTCTCGGCAAAAGTAGGTTATAAAGCCCCACTCATATACCGCTAGTCCCAGAATTTTGTCCAGCAAAAACGGTGGTTATAGAGTTTGGTTGGGCGGGGGAATAGGATAGCAGAGAAGGAAATTTTTGAAGTAAGTGTAAAGTGAAAAAATGTAGCCGAAGTTGCTTCCCGCGGCCGCT